AAAATTAATAGTTTGAGATATTTTGTACTTTATTCTGGCACATTTTGATACGGAATATAAAATATCTCGCAAACTATTAATTTTTTGATAACTCTACCTTAATACTTTTATATGCAGAATATTAGAGAAGAATTATATTATGTAAAAAAATCAATTCTATTTAAAAAATGGCGATGAAATTTATGTGATTTTGAAAAAAAAAATGTTTTCCGAAAATTGATTTTACCATTATTTGTCCCTCATCTTTGAACGATATAACTTTCGTCTGGAACACCGCAACCTACTTTATACGCGGAAAAAAATGACGTATCAACAGCATCATTTTTTGTATCAACAGTGTTATTGAGGCAACATCAATATTAATGAACAAAAAACATCAGATACTTAATTGTTTTAATAATTTAAATATTTGGTCCAATAATATCCAATTGAATTAACTATTTAATGCTTGTGGCAGCCCGTGACGTCGACGTTTAATTGAAGCAACTTCATTTTTTTCCGTGTAGGTATATATGTGTATATGTATAAATTAATTTCATTATTTTATAAATATATTTAATAAGAAAAAATGTATATCCTCTCATATATTTTGTGTGTTAAGTATATTTATAAAATAATAAAATTAATTTGTGTGTACGCACACAGACATACATATATTTTCTTATCTCATTAAATTTGAAAAGTAATTAATAATCCGTTAATTACATTTACATCCAACTATATTATTGAAACAATCGTTTTAAATTAAATCATTCAAACAACGGTTTTTTAACTTAAGGGAGTTTAACTTGATAAACTGTGGCAAATTAAACGAAAAACCTCAAATAATCTGTTGATTACATTTATATCCAAAAAAATACATTATTGAAACAACCGTTTCAAATTACATCATTCAAATAACGGTCTCTTATCACCATAACTGTGGCAAATAAAAGGAAAAATTCCACATTGAAATCGTAAATTTTAATCTTTATCGCGTTGTTACGTAAAACTTATACTATCTGGTCAATATAACAGAATGAATAAAACGTAAAATGTTAATCGTGATGGACTTCGTTAAATTTTACAACTTACTTTCTCAAGAAACCTTTTTTTTCGTTTTTCTTGTATCGCTGCTCAATATTTTAATAAAAACGTTTGACCTGAAGTTTTAGAAAAATCTCACATATATTGGCGGAAGAATTAAATGTCAATTCAATATATTCACAGCAATGCTGTTGAATACTCGGTTGAATATGGAGTGAGAAATCATTGTCAGAGATGAAGATGAAATATATTCTACAAATCTATCGTTTCTTGCGTCTTCATTATTAACTATCATCTCGAGAAAAAGAGTGATTGATGTACGGCTGTCATAAAAAAGATCGATGTGTAATCTCTTTGTTTGCGAGCGGTGTGACAATTCGAAGGCCAGAGCTCAGCTGAGGGCAGCACAAAGCAGAGAAGATTGCAGATATCATTGTCTTAAATAAAATTGCTACTGCGCCGAACGATATTTCCCCTTTATCGCAGGAAATGCATTATATTGTGGCGATGCAATAATGCGTTTCGCCGTAATCGAAACGTAAAAATAGCGCACATAAATTGCGGATTTTTCGAAGATACCCGCGAGCGTTCTGCGTTCCCCGTGGTGTCTTTATTGCGACGCGCGTTTTTCCCGAGCGGCGAGCCGTCACCGGAACGAGGAAGAGACCGTGTAGCTTTCGAACGAATGACAAGCGCGGGACTTCCTACGATCGCGCGATGTGACTTTCGGCAATGTTTACGACCGATATCCCGCCGTTTCGAACGCTAAAAATACCGCGCGCCCGGCACACCTTTTTCCCGACCATCTACTAACACCGCGGAGAGGTTTCGTTTTGACATGCAAGTTTTGGAATTTTGCCGAATGCAGCTTCCTTATTTTTTTTTCTGGCGACTTTGTCGGCCCTCTAAATGTCCGTTCGATCGTAAATCAAACGATTAACGAATATGCAACAAGAAGACGAACGTACGTCTCGGCTCTTAGGGGAATTGCTCGTAAAACCGTTCCGCGAATTAAATACCGCACGAAGTGACGTTTCGCTTTCGTTTAACGGCGTTTTGCAATTTCGAAACACCCGTTTTGACGCGCACTCGCATGTGAGATAACACGGAAAGGCCTCTGCCAACTAGCGTGTGAGATTGTATATCTATATACCGATACGTGAATCACAAAACTACGATGTACGCGACGATCTCTGTTGCGCAAACGTTTTATTTATATATAATTTATTTAGACTACGAGTCTTAATGACACGTCGCGCACGCATGATAACCGGTTAATAAAAATAAATTTCTGAAAATTGGATAAAATTATCGGCGGATAAAAAATGGGGAAATGAAACAACGCGACGCCGACGTAGCCTAATTATTAAGAAAAATATTTTTTCGAAAGCTGAATATAAACAGCGCCACAAATGAGAAAACAAAGCCATTAAGATATTAGATAATAATTAAGAGAAATGCAAGATTATATATATATATATATATATATATATATATATTTTTTTTTGTATAAAAAAAATATTTTTTTTCCACGTGTTTTTTCCACCTTGGACTAATCTGAAACGTCTGACACACGTAATACATGTCGAACTATCTTAACCGGTAACAAAACAATTTGCTGCTTTTTTAACGGATGTATGCGCATCGCAATCTGATTGCATGATCGGCGCTGACGCGAAGCATGGAATGCGATAGGTGTGAAACGGAAAAACGTAGGAACTCTGGGCGTGCGTTTCCCCTCTGAAGCAGGCAATGCCCATGGGTTTATTCTTAGATGGCTTTATCGGTCGTGATCTATTTATAGAATCGTAGTCTATCACTCAAAACATCGTGGTGCAAGGTGCAACGAAACTACGACATTGATCGGTCAGATGATCAAATGACCGGAAACAAAATTTCTTTAAATTTTGAACCGACGACCTTCAATTACCGCTTATCTTATCCCGGCAATAAATCGAATAAGCGATTCGTTGTTCTCAGATTCATTCAACTTTTACTACAAAATTCAAATTTTTACGGTGACGTTAATGATGCTATGAAATTCAAGTAAAGAGACTGCAGATTATTCCGGAAAATGGATAAATATTTTTTTAGTTCTTCCGCGCATCTATATCTTATGTATATTTATTTTTTATATAAATCCATTTTTTTAATTTATGAATATAATATATAATGGAAAGCGACTTCTCTTACACATTATCATTTCTTGATTCTTTCCGCGCTTGTAATTAAAAAAAAGATATGGTATTTTAAACCACTTATTTTATTAGCTTATATATGTATAAAAATGCCAAAATAATATTTATATATTAATTATACTTTTAAATTAAGTTTCAGAAAAATGGCTACGTCATTTTGGAGGACTTCTTTCGACCGGAAGAGATCGAAGAATTGAGAGCTTGTGGAGAAGAATTAACGAATAAATTGCCACCTGAATCGGAACGAAAAGTATTCAATACGATACAGTTACAACAGGTGATAAGAATATAATCAATTGTGAAACTTAACAGTATAAAGCGTATAAATATTAATATGGCGATTCAGAATCAGTCAGAGATGATCGTACAACGTATAACTTGTGAATACTTAAAAACGATTTTTATCAAAGAAGGTAGATACGTACAAAGAATAAATTTTGTAAAACATAAATTTATTCTTTGTATGTATCACTGTATTATGTATTAATGTAAAACTATATTTTCGTTAATTTCGAGACTTAATTTCCTGTGAATGTTATACAAATAAAAGTCAATATTAATGTTAACGGAAGTAATGATTATATGATCTTATTTCAGAATAAGGATAAGTATTTTTTGGATAGCGCCAATAAAATAAGTGTTTTCTTTGAGACTGAAGCTCTGGAAGAGGACGGGAAATTGAAGGTTCATCCAAGAGTGTCATTAAACAAAGTAAACTATCTCAAAAGAGTCGTACCTCTAGTTAAATCAATTCCTACGAAGATATTTTGAAATAATTTCAAATTATTTTACGGTGACTTAATAATTTCCAGGTAGGCCACGCTCTTCATTGGTTACATCCTACTTTCAAAAAGTACACGTTCGATGAGAGAGTCAAAGAAGTTGCTTTCCAATTAGACTACGAGGAACCAGTCGTATGCCAATCAATGTACATTTACAAAAATCCCGGAATAGGCTCGGAAGGTAATTAAATAATTCTCATAATTATATTTATATAACTCAATGCGCATGAGAATTATTTAACTGAAATAAAAATATGTGATTTAACAAGAATACACTATTATGTAATAACCACTGCAACATTAAGCCGAACATAATTGTTATTTCCTTGCAGTTACGATGCATCAGGACGCATCATATTTATATGTTGAACCGGTGAAACTCCTGGGTTTCTGGATTGCATTGGAGGATGCAACGCTAGAAAACGGATGTCTATGGATCGCTCCGGGCTCACATCAGAGCGGAGTGCACAGGCGTTATATGAGAAACAAAGATCCGAATTCCCAAGAGTTACTAATTTTCGACAGAGCGGCGCCTTGCTATCCGTTAAGTAATTTCAGACCAGTACCAGTACGCAAAGGAACTTGTATTCTTATCCACGGCCAGGTGGTCCACTTTTCTTATTCAAACAAGAGTGAGACATCGAGGCACGCTTACACTTTTCACGTGATTGAGACGAAACATGTATATTATTCCAAGGAAAACTGGCTTCAACAACCTGCTGAAGGTTTTGCGAATCTTTATAAAAATTAATTGTATCATATTAATCGTGTTACGAATTATCGTCCATTGTTTATTGCGCAATCTTATTCTTCAAAATATTCGTTTCTTTTCTCACTGTACAGAAAATGATGTTATTAATCCATGATGATGACATTAATCCATATACACAAGAAATATCCATATATTAAAAAATAAAACAAATTCTTAGTTTACATAATTACAAAAAAATATCGATAGCACCAATGAAAAATGTTACATATGCAAAATTTTCAAGAGACTAACTTGTATTAATATTAATACTTAGGTAAAAAATATATGGATAAAAAAAACTTCACATTTTTTTCTCGAACGATACACTTCTCGTATACGCAATATAATCAACAAAAGACAATTCTAAAGTACTTTTACCCAAAAATAAATCACAATAATTCATTTTCATTGACACCATTGATATATCAGTCACTCTCTTATAAAATTAAAAATATTTTTATAATATTTCGTTAATATTATTAATATATTATCATTAATATATATCGTTAATATATTTAAAACTTATAGATTAAATGTATATACATTTTTGTAAATATCTACATGTTTTCAAACACTGAATTACAATACATACATTACAAATACATACAACTATGAATGAGCAGCCAGTGCACAGAAATGCGAAGTTAATTCTTGTAGTTGTCTTAATCCAGTCTTTAATGCTTCTTCTTTTAATTTAACACAACAATATATATCCAAAGGTACCACGTCAAATGTTATCCTCTCTGTGTCAGGCAAAAATGTACTTAAATTTTGCTGTAAACTAAGTAACGTCTGATATTTTATAGAATCATCAGCCTGCACCAGTAACCTAATTACAAAAAAATTGCATAAATATATATGTATGTATACAATATAAAATAACTTGACATAAAATAATGTCATAAACTATCAGTATCAACAGATTATTGACATTATCAATCCGGGAGTAATCCCTGGGGTGATTTTTGTATCCTAGCAATAAGAAAATAAAGTTCAATTATAGTATTTTCTTTATTGATCGAGAATTCATACTTTTTTAAAATTCTTTTTTCCCTTTATAAAATATTAAGTAAATCTATGTACATAATCTCAGATAACGATAAAACGTCCTAATCTCAGATAGCGATAAAACGTCCTAATCTCAGATAACGATAAAACGTAAAACAATCAATAATATACAATACGTAGTCAAAGTGATTTTTAATTGGATATAAAAAACATCCCAGGTAATTATTCACGCCTAAAAAAATACTAGGTTACTATTCCCGAATTAAGAAATAACTTACTTATTTAGATTCTGCGTCAGATCAGTCACTTTTCTGGTAATTTCTGATTGCAAACGTTGTACAGATGCTTGTGTCAATGGTGGATCTATAGAGTTGAAGGTAAAAGAATATGCCATTCCTGCATTGTTGCATGCCAAACCACTATTATAAAATATAAATATAATAATATTTAATCACAAAGAAAGAATAGCAGTATTCTTATTAATATATATCAAAAAGTGATGTATATAATACATTTTTGTACGCGCGCACGCGTGCGTGTATGAAGTTATAAATATCTATAAAAAATCTCACCACATGTCACGTGTGTAATTATAGATATGCTGGAAGCACTGGAATACTTTTTCCGCTCTCATTTCTTGTTCTTGGACATTTTCTACGACGCCTATTTTATCGTATAATTTTTTCAGGTTGATATCAGCGATACATTTCTTACACTTCTCCTTGAGTTCCTAAAAGTATAAATTTTGAAAGTATTAATTTTCAAACTCTTCCAAAATAATAAAATATTTAAAAATATATAAAAAAAATATTACTGTAATAGTACTGAACGTTTGGGTCATGAGATCACAGTGTTTATCCATATTAACCATTTGTACCAAGTCGCTGCACTTCTCTAAAATATATTCCACATCTTGCAATTTTCTGCCACTCACTAAAAGAACCATCAAGATTAGGCTCAAGTTGCAGAATATAGTTTTAATAGGTTACAACATGTATAGGTAACCTGGTATATGTAGAAAAGCGTCAAGCAATTCCTTTAGGATATATTCAGCGCGTCTTTGGAACGATTCATTAATGGCAGCAATCCAGTGCTTTATAGCACATTTTAATGCAGTTATTGCAGTCCAAGGTGGCTTTATAATGACATATATCTTCCACTCTGCTTCTCCATAAATTTCTGACATTTGCTTCGTGATAATCTGAACATAAAAATATTCGTTCGATATGAGCTCGTGAAAATTGACACATTTCACAATCTAACATACAATGCGTACCGTTGACAAAAAGTTTTTCACGATCAATTTGGCATCCTCAAAAATATCATCTGTTAAACGTAATTCGTCGTTAAAGAGAGACTTTTCAACGGGACCATCATTCAAATTATTGACCATTATACCACTCGTATCTAAATAATCTATTTTTTCAAGTGGATCATTGCGTCCCAATGCTAGTATATTATATATCATCGCTTTAGTGCAGAGATTTTTGTCATAAGATAGCAAGACCTACATATATAAAATAAAAATAACACTTCTATTCGTTCTTAATATATGCGTGCATTATGTATGATGTAACAAAAGAACGTACCACTGATTTTCCTAATTGATGAATCTGTAAGCAACACTGAAGGATCTCATCATCTGGACAATTGAGAGAAAATTCCTTTTTATTTGTCGCTGCCTGCTCTCGTGTTTGTCCTATGATACGTGGGTGCTTAGAGGAAAACTGATCGTGAATGAAAGATATGGCTTTTCTGGCTTTTAATGATAATTCATGTTTAGACTTATTATCTTTGAAGTAGTCTAATTCCTATATCAAAAAAATGTTCAAAAAAAAAAAACATGTATATTAAAACTTTTACAGAGACGTGACAAAATTTTTGCTATACTGTACATATATTATACTTACACATATCACGGTCCATGGAATTACAATAAAAGGACGTGGATAATTCTTAAAGATTGCATCTCTTGCTTTTTCAATAATTTCCAGATTTGACAGAAACACATTTGTGTCAACAACAATGTGCAGTGGACCTTTTTCGTGTGATTCTGTTTTGTCGGATTGTGTTAAATCTACAATATTTTTTGATATATAATCTGTTTCTACATTGTCTTTATCAAGTTGTGTCCTGACAACTTCTACCTATATAAGAAAAAGTACGAAAACACGAAATATATTAAAGTTTCTTTTACGGTAACATATAAAACAAAGATGTCTTTTAAAGATTAAGTCTTGAAGAAGATACAATAGTCAAATATATTCGTATTGTGGATTTCTCCTATAATATAAATTATGTTCGTGTAATGTTTCAATTATACTGGTCATACCTCTAACGCAATTTCCTCATCTTTCATGGGTTCCCAATCCATTTCTTCGTACAGAACTTCCCGTTCAGCCTGTTCTATTAATTTATCTTTTGTCATTACTTTATCATTTCCGGCAACTGGTCTATTACTTTGTTGATTTTGTGATTTATCATCGTTTAATGTAAAATTTCTTTCATATATTGCATTTTTCAAGATTTTATTATGCAATTTCTTAAGTCGTACATCAACATTTTTATAAAAACATGTCGATCCTAAGTTGTCATTGTCTGCAAACACAAAGCAACGTAAAAATACTGAAAAGTCTAAACATATATCTCGAAACTTTATCGAAAGTGTAAAATATAAGATATATATAAAATTTTATATAATTACCAGACAAACCAGACAAACCTTTTCTAAACTTTTGTGAAGGTTTCTTGCTAACTAAATCGGCACGACACATTTCCTGAATTTTTTCCTTATCGATATTCAAATTTTTTCTTATTCTTTGCATACGTTCTTTTGCCAAATTTTTCTTCGGGAACAATTTTCTTCCTTTTTCTCCTAAACACAATTAATATTAATTTAGTATAATAATAATGACTTAAATATAAATCTATACAATTGCATTTACTTGAAACATTTTGACTAGATGATTCCTGGACATTTTGATTCTTGTTGCGCTGCTTAATATCATGTTTATCCCAAGCTATACTTTCTCGGTCTCCTGTATTTTTCTCTTGTTTCTCCCATGTTTTTGTTGATTTCTGATTGGCAATATTTACACTTTGCTGGTTATTCTTAGCGTCTTCCTTTAATGTTTTATTTCGACTAGATACATTTGAAATTCTCT